TTAATCTTACAAGGGGAAATTTAAAGTATGTGACAAATTTCTCTCCATGCTTTAATAAGGGCACTAAAAGACAATGGCTCTGTGCTAAATCACTTGGAAGGTCTTTGTTGAAGCTCTGTCCTTACCTATTCCTGTTCATCTTAAATTTTGCTGATTTACAAAACATGACACAAAGCTAAAACCACTGTTACTACTTACAATAAATGCTTATTCACCACACTTTTGAATTAACATTAAACAGACTAAATAACTGATGAGTTCAAACAGAGAGAATCCTTCCTATTCGCTCTGCAAACCTTTTAAAGCTCTTCCACAGAAAACTTCAAGTTTGGTATTTCCTAATTTTGCCTTTTTGTCCTCCCCAAATAAGAAGTTGTGAAATTGTTTACACAGAAAATTAACTCATGAGAACCAGAAAACTTAATGCAAATCCACTTTAGTCTAGCCATTCTGATAACCTCTGCCCCCTGCATTTGCATCCCCCTCTTGCAGGGTTGTTAATCAATAAATACTCCTTCCTAGGCAGCACAGTATCTGTGATGGAAGAGACATGACCTTTGGTGAACACAGCCAGAGTTGCCTTCTAGTGAGGAGGTGTCCCTACCCATGGCATGGGGGGTTGGGACTAGATGATCTGTAAGGTCCATTCCAACCCGTAAATTCTATGATTCTATAAAAAATACAGTAAACACTGGTTTAAAATCAAGCACACTTCTTCTACCGTGATGGACAAACAAATAAGCCCAAGCAAACCAACCAAGCTTGCAGAGGTTATCAATGTCCATCAATAGCAAAAGTTAATTTTTTTTCTTTTCATTAAAGAAAACATGATGCTCAAATTTGAAAAAAGGCTGTTTTGTCAAGGCAAGATTTGTTTCTTCTCGATGTTGTTAAATGATGCAGAGAAGACTCTAAGAACAGACAGCAGTAATCAAAACCCTTCTTTTTTCTTCAAATCTCTTTCGTCCCAAACCAGCACGTACAGAAAAAAATTTGCATTCCTACTGCAGGAACCAAACCTGTTTCATGCAAGGACAGATGATCTGAATGGGTTTTTTACAGGCCTTATCTAGTTTACCTTCTTCAAATTTAGTGAAATACAAACACTCCCCATCTATACCATTCCCACACTGCAAGGCTCATTAAGCTCACAGGTGTTCTGAAGGTAACTTTTTCAGGTACTTTTTCAGTGTGACCTATGAAATAGGAATCACTACATCCATACTTATTGGAAGTGCCCATCCCAGGTGTTTGCTGTGTGAGAGCAAAGAGTCAGACCTGCATGGGAAGAATGTCACTGCCCCATAAGACAGTCAGATGAGAGAATTGCTCTTGTCCAGCTTTATTGCTCTTGTACAAAGGTCAGGTAGAACTTTGTTTATTTTAATTCATGTGTTCTTCGGTTTACTTTTGGCCTATGAAACAGTGGAAACCACAGCAGAAGAAAAAGGTCTTAAAGCCTTGGAAAGGGCCTTACTTTAAACGGGTTTCTATGGGAATTCTTGAGGAGGTATATTTTTTAGCTCTAAGCTATTTCTGCAGAAAAAAAATGAGGCTGGTGATTTAAAAAGAGACCTCTCACAGAAGGGATAGCTTAAGAATATTGATATAAGCTTTGGCATTATTCCTCCTGGAGACTTTTTCTGGTGTTTTACTATTCAAAACAACCCTAGGGACTTTAGCACAGTCTGAGCATGTGGAAGTGCTCATTGATATGCAGAGCTCAAAGTTCAAACACACTGCACTTGCAAGGGCAGCTGCTGGTCCAAACTGTGGCTGTAACTCTCAGCTGACATATTAACAACTAACTGCTCAACATGCCTGAAGACCCTCCTCTTTTCTGCCCTCGCCCTGACCTCCCTCCCCTCACTTCACCTATTTCTGTCTTCTCAGAGAAACACTCAGTAGGCTTCAACATGCAAGAACTGCTGCTTCAATAGGTGCCAGCCCAGGTGATAATTTTGGACAAACTCAAGGTAGAGAGGTAAAAGAGATGAAGCAATGGGCAGACTGCCAAAGAGAGTCAA